GGATGAGATTACTTTATCTCTTTGAGTCCTTGTTACCTAGTAGGTTTTTGGATGGTCATGGTGGCTATAGTTTTTCTTAGAAAGGGATAATATTGCCAAAAATATATTCTTACAAATTTAGTCCCATTAACTTTTGGCTTCAAAAAGATTTTAATTTTTTAAAAAAAGAGTTAATTCTACCGAAGATCTATTATTTTTTGTGACAATTTTAAATTTAGTCTAAGATTATTGTTTTTGTCATTTAGCATCCCTGACTATTATTTTTAGGACATGTTTAGTCATTCTCATGACTTTTCCTATTTTTAATAAGGATATTTTTATCTCTTTATATTTTTCTTTTCTAAAAAGGGCAGATTAATGTGACAGGTTAAATCTGTTTTGACGGCTCTAATTTTAAGCGAGAAATATTTTGTTATACACTAATTTGTAAGAAACTAAAAAGTACCCATTTTACCATGCATAGAATTCCCTTCTAGAACCTTTCAAAATAAAGAATTCCCTTCTAGAAGATTAAATTATTTCCATTTTTTGTTTGACGGCTATTAAATCATCTTTACATTTTTACATTTAGATGCATGACTTTCTAGTCTTAACTAGTTTTCTGCTAGAAAGTATTCAAAATGTGTTTTATTTTGCTCAATTTAAAATGATATTGGCATGAACATCTTGGAGCTTTTGGCAATAGAATATATAGTTTTTAATTAAAAATACGATTCATTTCAACAATTCTCTACTAGTAATTTGGTTAGAAAGCAAAAAATAAAAAAGTGAATCAAATCTGACAAAATAGTACATGGAAATTAAAAATAAAAAGAGTTTAATAGGGCCATCAGGGTGAACAAGAATTCACGATACTCGCAATATTTGTTCCCATCCAATAAGTTGATGAGATGTGCAGACGACAGGGATGTTTGATAAATGGCCCAAATTATGGAGGCTCAGAGTACCACCGAGATGGAAAACATTTTTATGGAGAGCCTTGAATAATATATTGCCCACAACAACGAACCTCATTATAAAGAGAGTGGAGATTAGCCCAGCATGTGCTATGTGTGGGATTATGCATGAGAATGTTATGCACTCTTTGGTTGAATGTGATTATACAAGGAACATTTGAGCACAATCTCGCCTTCCAATCCCCAGTACTATCACTGATATTTTCCATGTTTGGTTTAATGACATATTAAATATTCTAGATGATGATAGAATTATTTATGCAGTAGGCCTACTATACTATATATGACGAGCGAGGAATGGAGCTGTGTGGGATGCATACTTGCCCAGACTACAAAAGATAATTGCAACTGTAACCGCAGCGATCCGGGCATGGCAAATAGCACACCCGGACCGCCCGAAGCAGCAACATGCTCCGCGTGGACTGGCCACGGCAATCCCCGAGCAGCACCAAGGTGCGGCATTGCAGCCTGCTGCCGTTCTGCCCACACTCCTTGCGGCTGCCTCCGTATGGAAGAGATGTTACTTTGACGCAGCCTTTTTCCAGGCCACAAGTAAGGCCGCTGTTGGGGCAATTTTCCTAGACGAACAGGGATCGTATATCACAGCTCTACAGGCGCCATTGATAGACTGTTTTTCCCCGCTTATGGCAGAAGCAATTGCATGTAAAGAAGTATTATCCTGGCTATGGGATCGTGGAGAGAGATCGGTAGACATACTTACGAACTGTTTGTCACTACAACAGTATTTATCGCAACCGAAGGAAACACCACGTTCGTACCTCGGCTATGTCATTGACACCTGCAGAAACCGGATGGTTTCCTTTGATTATGTTTCAGTTAATTATGTTCCTAGATCAGATAATTGTTTAGCACATATTTTAGCCACTTCGGCCTTTAATTATTCAGCACCTATGTACTTGGACAGTGGTCCACCACACTCTATTTCAGCATATTTCCAATGAATGCCGCCCAGGCTCTTTTCAAAAAAAAGTTGATGAGATGTGGATCCATTTAATATAAATTCATTATTAGTGAATTGGATATGGATATGATTTCTCAAAATTTACTATATTCAATATGTTTCACTAGTCCGTTATCGAAATGACGTAGTTATACACACACACACACACAAGTGAGGACATGCTCCCACGTAAAAATTGAGGAGTGATGACTGATTTAATCCATCAGTTTGAGTATATCAACGGTTGAGGATTGCTAAATTTTAGAGTTAATTCAATTTTTGGTCTTAGATTTATAGGTGTCAGTCTACTTTTAGTCCTACCTTTTTAAAACATTCTCATTTTACCATAGTATTATTGTAGTATGACCATTTTTTGTTCTCTATCAACAAAACAATTTAAATGTCGTTTAATACAATAACATTTCAATCTTCAATTATAGACCTTTTCAAACAAAAAAAAAAAAAAAACATAAAAATATAGCAAGTCAACCCACTTTGTATTAAAAAAAATCAAAATTAAATGTCATTGTATTTAACGATATTTCAACAGTTTTGTTGACGGAGAATAAAAAATGATCATACCACAATAATAATAAGACCAAAAAAGATTGCTCTAATAAAAAAGGACTAAAAGTGAACTATTACTATAAATGTTAGACTAAAAATGGAATAACTCTAAATTTTAATTATAGATTTTTTTTTTAATTTTAATTTTTTTAAAATGTAGTTTTTTTTTTTTTTTTTCAAACAATAATATAGATTTTTTTTATTAAAAAAAAAGTGACAATCATGACTATCTAGAAAAGAGGTCCAGATTTGTAGACAAAGGTGGTTTTGGACTTTTGGCTGCCTTTTTGTCACCCATCAACAGAAATAGCATGGGTTGTCAATAATATTTGATAGCTAGTGGTTCTTTTTAAAAAATTAGTTTTTTTTTTTTAAAAAAAAAAATTACTATTTTTAAAATTGTATGTAGTATTTTACAAAAAAATTAAAATTAAAATATTACAAAAAATTATATAATTAAAATTTACATAATCAACAAAATGTCACATATTAACCTAGTTAATGTCACATCAATGACAACTTATTAAGTAAATAATAATATGATCTTTTTTTTTTTTTTGAAAATAAATAATAATATGATCTAATTATACAACTTTGTCAATTTATAAATCTTCTCAAAACATTTTCAAGTTAAAAGACCTACACTATTTATTAAACTTAAAAGGTGAATGACATGTTTTCCCCTAAAATTAAAAATAATCCGCTTGCAAGACCCGAATAGTCTCTCTTCTGAATTCTTGGGTGGAATTATTACAAGAATAATGTTTGCTTACAATATACACACATTGCTTGATTTTAATTGTGATGAGAGCAGCATGACTCCTATGGCATGTTTGGTGAGGAGGAATTATAATTCATTTCCCATTTAATTTCAAGAAGTAAAAAATTTCAGAGTTTGATCGAAAGGAATTATAATTTCCATTGCAAATCCCACCTCCTCCTCCTCCCCTCAAGTATTGCGATTCTATAATTCATGGAAAGAAAGTTTAGAGTGTGAAGATCAAATTGTCCTCCCTAATAGTCATACAATCATACATTTCTTTCCCTAGGAATTATAATTATATGAACATTTTGATCTTTATACTATTTATTATTCCCTTTCAATTTTCATATATACCAAACACTATAATTGAAATTCTCATTCTATTCCTACCTACCAAACAATAGAATTTAAATTCCTACCTTATTACTTTCCCAATTTATTTGCTCCAAATTCCCTCCTTGCAACCAAACGACATGTAAGAACATCCCCAATAGTTATAGTTTTTTAAGAATTTTTGCAAGTATAACTAGGAAAGAGAAGATGGGAGAAAAGGGAAAAAAGGAAAAAAAAAAAAATGATTGTCAAATTTTTTTAAAAAAATGTTTAAGTAAGGAATTTAAATGCCCAGAGGGTGCATGCAGTAGCCTTGTGCGCTCAACGCGTAGAGAGGGGGAAAGCTTTTTTCCTTTTCTCTCTCCACCTGTGTTCCACAAAAAATCATTTCTCTTGCAAATATAAGGGAAAAGGGTCAAATAGACCCTCAAACTTTTGCTAAAGAGTCAATTAGACTCTCCAACTTTTTAAAGGTGCAATTACACCCATGAACAATGCATTTTGATGCAATGAAGCTCAAATACAGGTAAATGACCTGCTATCATAGATCATTGAAGATCCGACGTATTTTCGAGCAAAAAGTGACCAACTGGTCGCCGGTCACGAACATTCTCTGACGATCGGTGGAGAAGGCCACCATAGTGGTGGCTTTCTCTGGACGAGAAGGCTACCACTGAAGTAGCCTTCTCGCCGGAGAAGGCACCCCAGATTTGGGGAGAAGGCCACCACTGTGGTGGCCTTCTCCACCGATAGCCAGAGAAGGTTCGTGACCGGTCGCCGGTTGCTTTTTGTCAAAAAATACGTCAGAAATATGTTGAATTTTCAATGACCTAGGATAGAAGGTCATTTACTTGTATTTGGGCTTCATTGCATCAAAATGCATTGTTCAGGGGTGTAATTGCACCTTTAAAAAGTTGAAGGGTCTAATTGACTCTTTAGCAAAAATTTAAGGGTTTATTTAACCATTTTCCCCAAATATAATTTCTTACATCTCATCTCTCCTCTCTACTCCAAATCATCATCTCTCACCTCCAACTCATCACCTCTCTACTCCAAATCATCATCTCTCACCTCCAACTCATCAAAAAAACCAAAAAAAAACTTCTAACGTAGATGCCCTAAGATGACAGCATTATGAATTATGCACATAATGGCTATGTTTGGTTTGGTATAAAGTGAATCAGTCCGTCCCATTCTCTGACTACACAAGTTTACATAATAATTGGGAACACAACATTACTTTCCGGGCATGTGAGTCCATGACAGCAAACATAAACACACACTATTATCGCAATAATTCTATTACCTTGTGAACCAACCGGGAACAAAATCCGGGCTCCTATGCAATGTAATCCCGGTTAGGGCACAACAAAGAAGCATCAGGGGAACTCTCGTAATAACAATAACCTACAAACCCTAACCTTAAGAAACATGTATTGCATTGATGAAAGTTGTCACAGAAAAATCTACTTCTATAGTTTTATTGATCTTTTAGTTCCTTGTAACGAGCATTCTGTCTTATCAGTGGTTTCTTGTGAAGTGTACATTGGCCAATCTTAACCAAGGCTATGATACATGTCATGAATAAAAGGGCAGAAACCGATACCATGAGTGAAGGGGGACTAAAAGTGCGGCTCCACAAAGCAGGTCGTGCCTCCATGCTCATCGATGCAAACCGCTCACCAGATTGCTTTTGCCTACAAGTTAGAAAGACCGGGATGCGAAAGGTTTTAAGATTATTGACACTGAATATCCTCAATAGCCAGTGGAACACCGGCCTTGAGTATGTGTATTGATGGATCTCAGCGTTGCACTATGCTTACTTCTCAGTAGGTCACCCATCCTGTAAGTCTAACCACGGAGTTCTTTGGTTATCTGGTTGTCATATCCTTCTTAAACAAAGAACTCTATGGTTAAGCATACTTGACTTACAGGATGGGTGACCTACTGAGAAGTAAGCATAGTGCAGCACTGAGATCCATCATGTATTAATTAGTTTAATAAAACCGAATATTTAAAGGGTGACAGATTTCAGACTTGAAGCAGTCGAACATACCCGAAAAAGTTCTTAACCGACTTCCACAGATGTTCAACACTTCCGTATGAATCACCTGAAGCACATATTTTATCCATGTCATGTTTCACTTTTCCATTTTTTACATTAGTAGGAAGAAACTAACAAACATATTCTTATAGAAACACGAGAATGACACATATCCTTAAGTAAATTAAGTCCTACAGGAACATGAAATTGAAGTTAAAAAGTATACCATCAAAAGGCATAGGCTGCTCTGTGGATGCAGCCCTAAGTGAAGCCAACTTTTCAAGAAGATCACGCTCTTCATTACTGCCATAAAATAATCATACAAGGGAACAAATTTAGTAAACCATCTTTAGGGAACGATATAGAACAATAATAATTGTAACATGACTCCTTCAAAAACCTTATTACCCCAGGTGGCAAGAACAATCTATCAATTAGCCATGGTTGCAAAGATTAATGTTTAGAGTGACCTTAGACGGGTGAAGAATCATTTAGAGAATACAAAACTCATCAGTTCTTAAAGAAAATTAAAACCTGATATTCTTAGGGATTTGAACATTGACAATAAAATGATGATCTCCTCGCTCAGAAGGCTTATTCATATTTGGTACTCCCATATTTTTCATTTTCAAAGTATCTCCAGGTTGACATCCAGGAGGGATTTTCAGATTTTTAATGCCCTCCATAGTTTTAACCTGTAGAACCAACCATCACAATAATAATAATAAAATAAATAAAAATGGATAGCATCCATATAATGAAGGATGATAGGTTCATATGCAGATACAGAATACCCGTTTACTACCTTTGTGACTGTCCCCAGAATGGCTCCTGTGTAATCAACTTCTACTTTTGAATATAAGTTCAGACCATCTCTCCGAATTCCATGCTCTTCCTTAACATGGATGACCAAAAAGAGGTCACCCGCAATGCCCCTGCATTCAAGACCTCAGCATCACTTCATTGAATATAGAGTTCAAATTATCATGATTCACGGTAGAAGATTGAACCAAACACACATACACACACACAAAAATATGAGCTCTTGTTTTGAAAACACACCTCGTTTTGTCTATGTTACCCTCTCCTCGAAGTTGCATTGACGCACCATCACTAACTCCTGGTGGAACAACCACTCTCAGCCTCCTCTTTGATTTTACTTTACCACGACCATTACATTGGGGACAAGCATCAGTAATTATCTTGCCATTGCCACTACAGTTTGAGCATGTAGATACCTAAAAATTATGAAGCATCTTAAAAAGTAGTGGTGTTTCAAGTAAGAATAGGTCAGTGGTTATTATCACAATAATCAGCAAGCTCTTTGTCAACCTCAATATATAACTCTTCAATTGTAAAAATAAAAGGAGTTACTTATACCAGTTTTAAAAGAGAATGTCAACGACAAAGGAACAACTACAATATGTTGGACCATTATGTACTTCCACTTTCTTCTGCTAAACTGGAATTGCCAATTTGACATATTGCTAAAATGTGTGATACATTAATACCATTTCAGTAAAAATCTATAACAGGAAAACTGAACCCCATTTGTAATTTATTCAGTTGTGAAGATTTATCATCTATAATATTGTCTATATTTTTAAAATAGAGAATAGGAGAGCATTATGGTGCAAACACATGGCCAACAAGAATTCATAAGAAAACCAAAGCCAAATGCAGAAACAAGCCTGTAGGTGAATGAAGATGAGAGTATTCTGAAATCTGAACACTAAATACCTCTCATAATATTCAAGTATTCAACCACTATGAAAATGCCAATTATCTGAAAATAAGCCATTCCATGAATTGAAGAAATTCCAACAAGTCCTTTAAATGGTAAATGCACTTTTAGGTAAAGTATTAAATATACATCCAATCATCCATATAAAGAAGGATGACTATCCAACAAGCTAGAAAGGCCAAGTTATGAAACCAAAAAAGTGCATACATAAGTAAACTAGATGCTTGTCATTAATTGGCCAAGTCGCTGGTATTACCTGAGACACAATTCCAAATGGTGTTTTCTCTGTTTTCACCACTCCTCCTCTTCCTCCACAATCAGAGCATACTTTTATACAATTGCTGGACTTTGCCCCTGACCCGTTGCAACTATCACATGGCTCTAAGCAAGGTATTTCAATATTTTGTTCTCCTCCAAATATAGACTCTTCAAAGCTCAAATTAAGGTCGTATCTACACCAACAAGATGAAAATGAGCAGATTTACTACTACAAAACGGAAAATGTAGTTAAGAACAAATAAGTTAAATTGTCAAAAGAAAATTGTACTTCAAGTATCAATATACCCAATTCCCTTCAGAGACTAAACCTTTCATCATTTTTAATATGCTCAAGAAAGAAAAATCACAAAAATTGGGTAACTTTCTATTTTCTTACAGATTACTTGATGTTTCAGGTTTTGTAAGTGAAACAAGCAATGGTTAAAGAAGAGATGAATTTTAATGAGGCTAGCACCCCTCACCACTTTGGTGGTACCCTTGTAGGTTGAAAATTTAAATAAATAAATAAATAAAAGGATGAATTTTAAGAGCTTTGTAAATTATTAAAGCCATAGTTTGTAAAGAAACAACTGCAATCTAATTTGTGTGCTTATGTTGGCAATTGAACTTACATGAACATGTCAACTGAAAGTCAAAACCATACGAGAGTCAAAGGATTTTAGATATGTCTAGCCTTTGAACAAACAAAGGAAAAGATGTTGGTGGCAGATTAAATTACCTAATATCAAGATCCTGACGCCCTGCACTGCTGAAATTAAAGTTGAAACCTCTTAACCCACCACTTCCTCCGAAAAAAGGATCTGATTCACCAAAATATTGGGCGAACATTTCAAAAGGATCTACCTATTTGGTTTACATAATTCCACAATGAATATCCATTAATTAATAATCCACAGGAAAATTGGAAGAAGAAAAAATCAATATAACTGCATAAGACATGGAGTAAATGAAAGTATACACATAAGAAACTGAAAAATCCAGCAGAAATCATCAAAGTTGATGTGAGCTTACCCCTGGTACACCATTACGATATCCACCATATTCTCCTTGTAATCCTGCCTCACCAAAGCGATCATATAAAGACCTTTTTTCATCATCAGATAGTACCTATAGAAATGCTTTGATTTCACATGATAAGGCAAGGATAGAAGCATCAAGAGACCTAAATCTAATCTATCCAAAGTGTTTCCCAATGATGTGCAAACAACTAAACTTAAATGCAAATTGAACCTTTCTATTTGAACCAAAAGTGCAGTTAATTCACAAAAAGTAGCTCGAGTTCAAGAGATTGTACTCAAATAGGAAGAAAGTGTGATTCTTTCACTTGGGATAAAAGGATTCAGAAGTCACCTCATATGCAGCACTTATCTCTTTGAACTTATCTTCAGCCCCAGGACCCTTGTTCATATCGGGGTGATACTGCTCCAAACAAGAATCACACAAATTCAAAAAGTAGCCCATAGTTGGCAATGCAAAAAGCCTAAATATCATCATTAGCATAATGATTTAAAACTTTCACACCAAATAAAAAAGAAACCAATATGACAAATACATATGAGGGAAAACCATTAAAGCTAAAATATACGTTACTACAGACCAGGTTCCTGCAAATGTGGAATTGTTTGCAGCAATAAAGTTACAATGTAGATAAGCAATGGATACTACATTATTAAATCTCCCATGAATTCGCCATTTCCAATAAAAGAGAAGAGCTATCAACACAACAAACACAGATATAGACATGAGATTGTACCTGGCGAGCGAGTTTCCGGTAAGAGGCTTTGATTTCCTGCAAAGATGCGTTCTTGCCGACATTGAGAACGGAATAGTAATCGGAGGCAGAGGTCTTTGCAGCGGCGGTAACGGAAACGAAACGCCGGCGTCGTGTGCTGAAGGGGGAGAAAGCAGAGCTCTTGGAGAGGAGAAATGGGGATAGGGAGCTGCAAAACGATAGGGTTTTGGGTTTTAGAGAAGAGGGTATTGGAGGGAAATAGCAGATAGGACGAGAGAGGACAAAACTGGGAATTTGGCTCCTAGTACAATGGGCAGTGAAGAAGCTGCAGTGTTGATTAATGTGGATAACTGGCATCGCCGGAGCGAGATGGAGGAAGTCGCCGGCGGCGAATAAAACGATGCCGGTCGTTTGGATTCAGGAAGAGAAGAGGAAAAGGATTAAGGGGTCGTTTACTTCATTTTAATCGGAATGTATTCAATTTTGTTGTTGAATTTCAAAAATGGGCAGAAAAATTATCATTCTCAATGGCATGAATTTTACAGCTTATTTTAATCAATCAAAATCCGACAGATACCAGAAATTCACCCATCAACTACGAATTCGCGATAAAGGGTAAGAGAAGAATACAATACGCTGTCGATGGATTAATCCGAGGGGAAACGATTTCATTAATACTAGTATTTGCACCAGTGGATGCACGGAATGAATTTGTTGTAACATAGTAAGAATATATGAATCGATATATAATTATTTAAATTAGAACATCAAATATTATATAGTGCAATTAAAGATATGGTTTGCATCGTTTATATATTTTGATGTTATTATTGCTTTAATTTGTGCAAATAATTGTTCAAGTTAATAGCTAATGTCTAGATATACACATACGGTGCTATAACTTTGAAGATTTTATTTATCATTATTTAGTATGTTGGAAATTGGTGAATAAATCGATACACAAAATATATATGAAATATATATATGTCCCAAAAAAATGGAATTTAATTTATAGAAAATTAATTCCAACCAATTTTGGTACGAAACCAAAATTACATATATATGCCACGTATATATATTAACCAAATAGGGATTTATTTTATCAAAATAATCCCACCACAACTAGTACGAAACTAGTACACGGGACTTAATTTCCACGAAATTAATCCCACCACAACTAGTACGAAACTAGTACAAGGATTTAATCTATCCGAGATTAATCCTACCACTTGGTCCAAAACCAAGAACAAAAATAAAAGCAAGATACGGGTTTCTAACCTGAGGTTTCAACCCAACGCGAAGAAACAAGAAGAAGCAGAGGAAGCCCGAGTCGTGTGTACACACACTCTCCTTAAAACCGATTCGCCACATCCCGAGGGTGCTAGGATCGTTGTGGCGTCAGTCTCCCAGGATAAAACGGACTACGACTTTGGCGTTCGAGCACTCCAACCCAAAGTCCGGCGAACTAGAACACAAGCTGAGCACTCCGATGTTTTACGGAAGATGTTTGGCAGAATTTCTTTTTTCCCTTTGTAATCGAGCAGGAGAGTTTGAGAGAAAATAAAACAAAAGTTTTGAGAGTTTTCAAAACGGAGTAAAAATTATTCTGCCAACATCCACAACTATTTGTAAGGGAAAAGGAATTAAAACATTATAATGGCCATTAATCCAATCATAAATCCAAGATTTAATAATTGGATAATAACGTTTGAAACGGTCGTAATTATTATCGTAATAATTCCAACGGTCACGAACTTAATACGCGATTAATTCGTACCGACCACAATGACCCGTTTCAAAATATCTGAGTGACCGAGAAGTCCGTACAAACCCGAAGGTTTAACGAATTGGGATTGGAAACCACACCCGAGTGGTCCACACGCACCGAAACGGCGCAGCACGAATCAATGCATATAGCATTGACTCGTGCTCAGCACGAAAGTAGCTCACGAAAGGAGAGCACGAAAGGAGCTCACAACTCCAACTTTCAGCATGAAACTAAAGCTTATAATTAAGCTTTCAATTTTGCATGCACTTTCGTCCAGCATGAAAGCATAGCACGAAAGGTGCTAAAACAAAGTTTCGTGCTTTACAGAAACCAAAGCTCCAAATTGAGCTTTTAATTCTTAAAGCACGAGACTTCAAATCCCAATCTTCCCTAATTAAGCTTAATAAAGCTTAATCATCTTTTAAGCTTAATTAGCTTACAAATTAAGCTACATCATCATGCCTATATTGGCACGAACCAACAACATAAGCTTAAAGATTTGACTCCTCTCAAATAGGTTCACTTGAGAATCAATTTCTCATTCACCTATTATCCATTTTGAGCGTACATTATATCAAATTCTTCATCTCACTACGAAGAACCCGAATCCACTTTGACCCGACCCAAATCGGAAGTGGACCTCACATATATTTGTACCACAAAATAATCATTCAAAATGCCATTTTTAGCTAAAAATTCCAACATAGTATTTTCATAAATTAGGCAAATGTGCTCGTTCTCTAACAACTCAGTTATAGAAATGAATTGGTATCCTTATTCTTTCTCAAACCCCCTAATAATTTTTTTTTTTAAAAAAAAAAAACTAAAATAAGAAGCCATTAAGATAAGGTTTCTTAAATAAGAGCCTTTTGACACGTTGGGCTTCAATAGGTTTGAGAAAGTTTACATGTAACAGGGTCAATCGAATAGTTATGCTGTGGAACCGTGTCCACCTTACACAGTTCTATGTTTATTATTACTGAACTATATGTTCATTATTATAAAGCTATATATTCATAATTTTTGAACATCATATTCATAAGTATTGAACTTCATATTCATAAGTATTGAACTCTATATTCATAATTGCAGAACTCTATGTTCATAGTTACTCAACTATATGTTCATAATTATAAATAAATAAATAAATAAATAAATAAATAAATAAATATATATATATATATATATATATATATATATATATATATATATATATATATATATGCATAATTTTTTAACTTCATATTCACAATTATTGAATCTCTATATTCATAATTACATAACTATATGTTCATAATTATGTTCACAACATCATGTTCATAATTATTAATTATTAATTTTTATTGCCTAATACAAATTGTCAATTATAAAATATTATTTATGGTAATTATTGTATGTCATGTAATACTAAAGTTGTTAGGTAGAATTTTTATAATTAAGGTATAATATTATTAAATTAAAATTATTAAAAATATATAGATCCACATTAAGAAAACCTTATTAATTTCGGATATTAAAACTATATATTTAAATCCATATATTTAGATTAAAGTTGAAGTTATAAATAATTAAGTTTCAATAAATTTATTTATTCCCTAAATTATATATGAGTAATAATAAATATTTTTCTATATTAGATTGCGCTTATATATGATTTACCCGTATTAATGATCACTATATTAGATTAATATATAATTCTTTTAATATATAATATACTATATTATTAAATCTAAACATATAGTTAATATTTATTCAATATTATTATGAAATTATTACAATTATAAATTTTATTATATTTTAAATGGCTTAACATATCGACGCAAATATGATAAGTCAATAACATTATTTCACATTAGAAAAATAATATGTATATATGTATATATTTTACCATATTAAAAATATTTTTTTATTCAGTTGACTCATTTGTGAATTTGTTTAAAATAAAAATCGTGCAATATTGGCATAATATTATGTCCATAATTAAGTAGTCTATATTCTGGCATATTCTTCTACAATATGTATTAGCATAATAAATTATTTCATAGACTAAATATTTTTAAACCATTTTACTCATTAAGAATTATCCAGTATTACATACTTCTAATTAGAATATTCATTACCATATTTTAAATATTTTTTATTCAATTGACTCATTAATGAATTGGTTCCAAAAATTCCATTTAATATTACCATAATAATATGTCCATAATTAAATAGTATATATTGTGCATTATTCTTCTCCATTTTGTATTACCATAATTAATTATTTAAGAGTGTAATTATTTTTTACTCAACTGACTCATTTAAAATTATCCGGTGCTACATACTTATAATTAAAATAGTTATTACCGTATTAAAAAATATTTTTTATTAAATTGACTCATTTATGAATTGGTTAAAAAAATTCCGTGTAATATTAGCGTATATCAATTTTCAAAATTAATTAGAATATATATTACCTAAATTAGAATATGTATTACCTAAATTAAAATATTTTTTTATTCAATTCCTAGTACGTACTTCAAGCTCAATATATCATTGCCTACATATTTATTTGTATATTGATAAAATTACAAAAGTGCTAGTACGTACTTCTTCCCGTGTGTGTGTGTGTGTGTGTGTGTGTGTGTGTGTGTGTGTGTGTGTGTGTATATATATATATATATATATATATATATATATATATATATATATATAAAGGATGATATTATAGAAATGTCTCTAAGTTTTGGGTGGGTGGGTGGGTGGGTGGGTGGGGTGGGGAGGGAATTTGGCTAGGAGGATTTACTTTTAACTATATATAGATATAAATTCTTATTGCCTAATAGAATTTGACAATTATTAAAGATTGTTTATGGTAATTATTGTATGACATTTAATACTAAAATTATTAGGTAAAATTTTTATAATTATTATATAATATTATTAAATCTAATTATTAGAAATAATGTATCCACAATATAAAATAAATTATATTTTTCTTAATAATCTTTTTTTTAATGCTTTTATCAAAAAGACATCTTTTAACGGCTTGATTTTCATTCCCACCAACATAGTTATTTGCAGTATTAGGACTCTATGTATATGAGTCTGTTTAGAACTTCTTATCCTTGTCACACTGTGACTCTCTACTTCTTATCATTGTCATAATGTGACTCTCTATTCTATATATTCACATCATCTGATCTCATTGTAATCAAGTTCAGAAAATATAATACAATCAGTTCTCATCTGGTATCAGTTAGCTAGGGTTTTGTGATTCATAAAATTAAGAAGATGCAGCACTGCGATGGCAACCTTAATTACCGTGGAGGTCAGCAACGTGGCTTCGATGATCCGTGTCAAATCTGTAAAGGTTTCGGCCACACAGGAGTCAATTGTTTTTGGCGCTATGATAATCCGTGTCAAATTTGTAAACGTTTTGGTCACACGGGAGCCAATTGTTTTTGGCGCTATAATGATCCGTGTCAAATTTTCAAAAGTTTCGGTCACACGGGAGTCAACTGTTTTCGGCGATATTCAGGGGCTCCGGGTTCTCAGGCTAATTTGGTGTTTCAGAATGGTTTAGTTGCTAAAACCTCGTCAAATTCTCATACTTGGGTTCCGGACACTGGAGCCACAAATCATGCAACTCCGAACATCGCTACCCTTTCTACATCGGAGAAGTACACTGGTAATGACACTTTACGTGTCGGTGACGGTATGGGTTTATCTATTAGTCATGTTGGCCATGCCTCTTTTAATACCCCTTCTAGATCATTTACATTGTCTGATATACTTCACGTTCCGCGTTTGTCTAATTCTTTATTATCTGTTCAGAAGTTTGCATCCGATAATAAAGTCTTTTTTGAGTTTCACCCCTCCTTTTTTGTTGTAAAAGATA